CCTCCCTCCCTCCCTCCATTTCTTCCTCCCTCCCTTCCTTCCTTACTTCCTCCCTCCCTTTCTTCCTCCCTCCCTCCCTCTCTCCCTCTCTCCCTTCCTCCCTCCCTCCCTCTATTTCTCCCTCCCTCTCTTGCTCTCTTACCATCTGTACAGTGGATTAAACTCAGAGTTCTTTACCCCCTGAGCTCTGTTGCAGCATTATTTATTTATTTATTTATTTGGAGACATGATCTCACTCTGTTGCTGAGGGTGGCCTCAATCCTGATCCGCTCCTGCCTCAGTCTCTATTATAACTTGGATTGCACACATGAACCACCACCATGGCTGGCATTGTACTAATTTTCTAATTATTCACAACAAATTAGCACACTCCCTGGTGATCTCACAATTTCTGTGGGAGAGCAGTTGGGCCGACCCAGACTGGGTCCCATCCTCAGCTTCTCATTGGCTGCAATCAAGGTGTTTTATAAGCTGCATCCTCCTCTGCAAACTTGAAGAATCTGCTTCCAAGGACACCAAGGTTGTTGGCATAATTAGGTTCTTTGGTCTTGTGTGGTTTAGGATGCTGAGTTATTGGTGGCTATTGGTCAGAGGCTGTTGTAGAACCCTGCAGGACACCAGAAGTTCCTACCATATTGGCAGCTCAGTAATGAGACCAGTATAAAGAATCCTTCCACCAGAGTGAGAGGCTGACTCCCTTTTAAGGGCTCTGATGTGAATCAATCAGGCCAACCAAGAATAATCTCCTTTTGACTGATTTAAAATGAACTGCCTTGGCATGTTAATTGTGTCTGCATAAATATCTCTTCACCTTTCCAATATTTCCTGAGCAGAAAGCAAACCTCATATTCTGTCCACTGTGCCCATATCTCGGTATTAGTGAGTGTGAACACCAGCTAGTAGGTGTCTTGAGGAGGCAAGATTTCTTATCATTTTGATATTTAAAAAAATTATTTCTCCAAAATGTTCCCTGTGACAAGATTATTAAGAATGGAGCTCCTTCAGGTAAAGAGCATCAGAAATGTACCTCCAGGTGATTTCTAACCCAGTTTCCCAGGTCCCTGTGTTTCTCAGATTCTTCTCAAGTGAGAGAAAATTGAGATTTTCTATTGCTTTCTGGGCAATATATAAACACATGAAGAAACAAATAATGTAAACATAGGACTCTCAATGTGTTTAATAGTAAAGAAAGAAGAAAAGTTTAAAATCTGTAGCCCAGTTTCTCTTTTAACAAACTAATAAAGAAGAGCCGAGCAAACCCAAATCAAGCCAAATCAAGGAAATCAAATTATAAATACCAAATCCTGAAAGAGGTTCTCAAGATGGTTTTGGGTCAGAGGAAGGCAGCACCGTCCACCTGCCCCTCAGCTCAGAACTGTCAATGGGAAGCCTTAACTTCCCATGGGGACTCTGCCTCAGAGCTGCTCTGGGAGCCGCACATCCACTGTGAGCACTCTGCAGCCTATAGGACTCTGTCCTGGGAGACAGAGCTGATAGCTGCTGCAACCCGCTTTGGCTGAACTTTTCCTGAACTTCATGATCTTACACTTTTGGAGAGCTCACAAAGCTGTTTTGGAGAATGTCTGTCAATTAGGATGTTTGTCTACTGTCGGAGACCAGCTCCAACAGGGGGTCTCAGGAGACGAACGGATGGTGAGGAGTCGGTGAAAGAGGGGTGGAGAAACAACACAGACACCAAAGTGAAGGTGTTGATCCCAATCTTTACTTGTGAAGTTGATCATATATACTTTTCATTTTGGCAGGCTCACAGTACTTTGTGGTTACAAAACAGGAATCATTATTCAAAGAAACAAAATATTATGTAGCTACAATTAGAATAGAAGAATGTATCTTGGCTTATGCATAAACAAGCATTTGTACTTTCAGTTTGCGTTTTTCTTTGAGCTGTTTCTGCTTAGTTAACTTTTAATAATAGTTAGAAATGTCCCAAACTATTGGCCTATACCTTGACTATTCTTTCTTGACTTACTGACTGGAACCGGTGCCATGGTTATGGCAAGTGGTTGACTTGTTATTAATTTTAATCAAACAAGAGTAAGAGCACAAACCATTGTGCACAGGAACAAGAAGAAGTTGCCCAGTACTAAGCACTAATCTGTCTTCTTAACATTAATTTTTCTTCTCTAGATTTTAATTTAATTTCTCAAAAACTTCCTTGACAGGAATACAGGGAGTTTTTCATTAGACATTAACAATTTACACTCCACAGCTGAATCATTGCATTTAGAGCAAACAGATCTATTCTTTAGAAGTAGTTGCATTAGTTGGGAAAGTCATGTTTTTTCCTTCATACTTAATGGTCATATGAGAAGTTGCAACTATACTTATTAAAGGAATACAAAAACAAATCAGCCCATTCCCAGAAACATACTGCACTCCTCCAGAGGATGGACGCCTTGCGCCATCCACCTCAGTAGGGCCTTGCCATTGCCTGAGTCAGGGGAGGGATGCAGCACTCTACCACTCATGGTAGAAGTTAGCTGCAGCATCTCTGGCAGGAATATCTAGAAATGATGCTCTTCTGTTAGGGCTCCCTAGTGGGTGGTGCCTGATTTCAATCTGTCTCACTACTGCAGATGTTCACATTGATTCCTGGGTTAAAGAAATATTCCAAACTTCTTTCCTGTAGTTCATCTTTGGCTGTTTGAAATGAGCATGAGGCTGGGGAGTGACTAAATGCCAGAGCACTTACCTAGCATGCCTAAGGTCCTCGCTATGATCCATCTCCAATAATAGAGCTCAAAAAGAGTTAACATGAAATTATTGAAAAGTGTATAGATATAGATATCTATAAATCCTTTATAGATATCCTATTCCTCATCAAAGTGCCAGTATCAGACTGAGCTCATGTATCATCTTTTGTTCAATGGGTTAGTTTGTCCTAATTATAAATCTTGATTCTCAAGATTATCCAGGCCTGGGCAGTGAGAGGCTCCTTCCTGGTAGTTTCTCTTTACTTTAGCCATGGTCTCATCATTTTTGGAGGACTTTTTGTGTTCCCAACTCAAGGTGGTACAGGGGTTTCTTATCCTAAGATTCCTTTATTGGCAAATAAATCTGGTCACTATGAGTGCGTGTTAGGAGTATGGGCTATTGTGCCTGGGTATGTGTAGATAAGAATGTGTAGATAAGTATCTCAATCAACCCATCTGTGGACCTCAACATCTATCATCTCCTTATCTATCTGCATGCACACTCTTGTCTATTCCTACATACAATTCTGAGTTTATTCTGATATTTTTGATTCTAGTCAAAATTGTGCTTGTTCTAGCGATGTCCCTTTTTGTTTGGGATCCATTCCACCTACAGTGAGAATCCTGGCTCTGATTGTCTCTGGTGCATTGTTTCCCACCAACATTCCCCCGACTGAAAGCAACCTCTTGACATTGGCCTCCCCTCCATTAGACAGCCTCATGGCCACTCGTGAAAGTACCCTGATCCTGGTCTGATACCCCTTGCTAGGACACAACCCACTTTACACACATATATGGATGCTGTGTCAATTGCCTTTTGTCACTGAGAAAAAAACTGGGGGTAAAACACTTTAGAGGAGGAAAGAGTTATTCTGGGTCACAGTTTCAGTCCATGGTCAGCTGGCTCCAAGGCAGAAGTATCATGGTGGAAGGGCTGGGTGGAGGAAAGCTGCTCAGCCATGGGTCCAGGAAGGTACAAGGAAGGGCTAGGGGCAAAGAAACACCCTCCAGGGCACAGTCTCAGTGACCTCCTCCTTCTCACTAGGTTCTGCCTCCCAAATTTATTTAAATCATTCATTCATCAAATGGATGAGTACCATAATAAGGTCTTCACCCCATGAGACTTTGGGGGACCCTTCATATGTAAACTGTAACAGAAGCCCTCCTCCCATTGCCTATGTCCCCCACCTGCCCACTGGCGCCACACTACAGTGTGTCTTCCTTACTGTGCTCCACATTTGACCTGCACAGGGGCCTGCACAAATACCATCTGCATGAGAGGACACCCTCCTCCCCTTGCTCGAGTGTCCCCGCCATCACCCAGTTGTCCTCTTTTGCTGTAGTAGCGTGGAGTGGAGGGTTTTCCAGCCCAGTCCTCTGACACACCTTTCTCCTCACCAAGCATGTGCCCCCAGCCTTGCACCAGCCTCTGGGGTCAGTGTTCTCTTAGGACCTGGGTGAGATTTGGTGACAGAATAAAGACAGGTTAGGAAACAAGGTAGACTCAGGACAGTGGAGTAGCTGGTCCAGCAGACCTTTAATTTCTGAAGCCAAAGCTCAGGTGGAACTGGGGGAGGGGCACAAGCAATAATGAGAAGATCTCAGGGACCACGTGGCCTGATGGGTGAAGCAGCCTGCAGACAGGGAGGGAGCTGACCTTTCAGGTGTGGAAGGGCCAACTCCTGACCTTCGCAGCAAGTTCAGAGGAAGTGTTGGAGCCTTCAGAGTGGAGCAGGACCAGAGCTCAGCTGGGATGAAGGGACAGCACAGGCACATGGCCAACGACCTTCCCCTCCTTACTAACCATGGTGCCTGCCCCTGATATGTTTGTCCCTTTCTGTTGCTCCCTCTTACCCCATTTTGCATTTCTGGCTAGAAACACTGATGATTTTTCATTCCCAGGTCTTCAAGGAGTCAGGTGTAGAGAAAGCCTCTCTGGAGTAAATATTGTGCTCAGGTATAAAAAGGATGAGGTCAGTCACTCCTCCTGCAGGGTGTGGGGCTGTGATAGAGCTCATGAACCTTGTCTTAGTTGGAGAGTGAGCAGGAGAAGTGTGTTCTGAACCTTGATGAGACCAAGAGGAACTTGGAACAGGAACGAGGGGTGGTTCTCTCCTGTGCCTCTCAGGAAACACATTTTCTCTAGGCAAATCTGTGATGCCATGGCCTATGCTGGGACACCTGGGGACACTTGGCCAGGCCTGAGAGGAGCCTCCCTGCATCTGTGCCCAGCTTGTCCAGCCCTGCTGATTTGCATGTGCCCACAGCACAGGCCACTGCTCTGAGAACTTCTTAAGAGGCTGCTCACACCCCTGCAGGAGTCAGTCCCTGTCAGGACGCAGCATGGCCATGAGGGCTCCTGCTCAGCTCCTGGGGCTCCTGCTGCTCTGCCTACCAGGTAAGGAGGGACAGCACTGGGGATGTGCTCAGACCTATTTCATTAGCGCTGCCTGGTGTTCAGGGAAATCCTCTTATGACATTATTAATTGTGTGCATATTTCTTCTTATGTGTTCAATTGTAGGTGCCAAATGTGACATTATAATGACCCAGTCTCCAGCCTCCCTGTCTAAATCTCAAGGAGAAACAGTCACCATCAGGTGCCAGGCCAGTCAGGGTATTGGCAATGAATTAAGCTGGTACCAGCAGAAACCAGGGCAAGCGCCTAAGCTCCTGATCTATGGTGCCAACCGTTTGCACTCTGGGGTCCCCTCGAGGTTCAGTGGCAGTGGATCTGGGACAGATTATTCTCTCACCATCAGCAGCCTGGAGCCTGAAGATTTTGCCACTTATTTCTGTCAACAAGATTACAGTTACCCTCCCACAGTGACACAGGCCATGACAAAAACCTCCCAGGAAGCAGAAGTGTGAGGCTGGGCTGCCCCAGCTGCTCCTCTTGCTGCCTCCACCTGCTGAGGGCACAGCTCATAGGCAGCCAGACTCTGAGGGCCACAGAGAGGTTTATCTAGGCCTGGACAAGCTCCTCTGCACCCTGTTTCTTTCTCCTTGTCAACTCCAGCACTCAGCCATCAGATCAGGCCCACAAGATTTGGTGTCCCTTAAGGTGTGTGTGCCCTGCTCTGTGCAGTAGTGCTCCACCAACCAGTGAGTGACAGGAAGCTAGAAGAAGGCCAATCAGGAGAAGAACCATGATGAGTTCTTACCCTGTGGGTGCAGGACCCTGGTGCTGGGTGGGCTCAGTCAAGCTGCCCAGGGGAACAGAATTGGTGTTCAGAGACTGATAAATGCATAGGTGGTCAGTTTTTATGACAGAGATGTTATTACAAAAACTATGAACAAAACTTCTTCAGAGGAAATGTTCTCTATCAGCCCCATGTGCAAACAGTGATCTAGTATATACAATGGGCTCAACATCAATAATCATTAGAGAGTGAAAGTTGCAACAAAGCAGCAGAAACCTTCAGAAGAAAGGTCATAAAACTGAACCATGAAAAACATGGAGCTCAGCCTGAGGAATGATCTAGAACAGTGTCATGTGTTTGGAAATGTGAAGTGGTACCTGAGTTGGAGACCTGCCCTGACCATGCACGTACCTGTGATCCAGGCTTTCCACTCAGAGCACATGCAGATGTGCACAGATTCCCATGTGCAGGGACCTCACAGCATTATCTATGATAACTGCAACCTGAATCATCTAAATGCCAATCAAGGGAAGAATGGATAAATAGAAAAAGGGAAGTGCATGTAGTGGAATACTATACACCAGTGAAAATGGCCACTGACTTCCAGAACCCTGCAAGAGTATGAAAGAGCTAGATACACCACAGCTCATTACCCATGATTCTATTTTTATGAGGATCAATAACTGGCAAAATTTGATAATTGCTTAAAGATAGGTTACAAATTGCATGGGTAAAAGGGGGGTCAATGACTGGTTATTCTTCCTTGAGACTCTTTTCCTAGTATTTTGCAGACATTATTATCTTTCCTCCTGCCTGCATGTTTCTTCTGAGAATCTCCTGATAGCCATATGGAAGTTCCCTTGGATGTTGTGAGTTCCTTTTCTCTTGTGGCTTTCAAAACTATCTCTGTAAATCTTCATATTTTGTTTATATTATATTTTAGTGTGAACATCTTTAGGTTAGTCCTACTTGGGACCTTCAAGCATAGTTAACCTGAATGTCCATATTCCTATCATCTGGGAAATTTTCAAGAATTATTACTTTTAACAATTACATCCTCATTAAATGTCTCCTATTTTATGGAATATATATATATATATATATATATATATATATATATATATATATATATAGCATTTGTTGGTTTTTTTGAACCTGTTCAATACATCCAGTACATTTTATCCATGCCATTTGTTTCTTTTTCTTTATTCTTTTATGAGTGGATACTTTCACACACTCTAATTCACAGCTGCTTTCTTCTCCAAGGTGGAGTCTGCTGTTGAGCTCTCTGTAGCATTTTCTATCTCATTCAGTATCTTCTTCAGCTCTAGAATTTCTGTTTGAAGGGAAAATAAATACAGCAATAAAATTTTGTATGTAGCAAGATTGATTTATAGATGTCAGAATAAAAGTGAGTTTCAGCAGCCTGGAATGTTTTGAGGCATGCCAAGGCAGGAGTGTGGATGGTGTGTGCGTGGTCACTACTTAGACATGTGTCTCTTTCTTACTTTATATTTTTTTTTCAATGTTGGGCATGAAATCCAGGGCCTCATGCATCCCAGGCAACACTCTACCACTGAGCTAAACCCAGATCTTGGCTCATAACTGAAACTCCAGGAATGTGGCTGGACTTAGATTTCATGGATCCGTCCTACCTATATCTTGAGCAATTAGACAAATCAAGAGAGGAGAGACAATCTGGCCATGTCCTGCAAGTATCCTAGAGAAGGACCATGACAGTGGGGTGGGGAGAGGAAGAAGGAAGAGAATCTGACATGTAGGCCTTAACTATGGAGCAACAGAGAGTAAGAGACCTGGGATCCAATGAGAAATCCCCTCAGCACAGCCCTCAGGTTCCCAACAATTAGAGAGGATTTTATTTATTCACATCCCACTGAGCTGAGATAAAGAAACCAGAAGCCCTGTCTTAAAGCATCTGAAGAGATATACTCAGAGTATATAAAATACTTCTTTCAAGGCAATAAAGTGCCCCAAACAAAACAAGATGCTCCAACGACAGAACCCACTGATACCACAGTAGAATCAATGCCCAAGAAGGAGTTCAGATTGCACAGAGGAAATGTGATCTGTGAAGTAAGGGATAGTGTAAGGAGTGAAATCAAAGAAGATATACAGAAAGTGAAAGATTACTTCAATAAACAGAGATTTTGAGAAAAATACAAGCAGAAATCCTCAAAATGAAGAAAACAATTAACCAAAAGTTAGAATTCAAAAGAAGGCACCACCAACACAGATACCAGTTGGAAGACTGAACCTCAGACAATGAAGACAAAATATAATGTCTTGAAAGTAGATTGGAGAATTTCCCAGATTTTTTATTTTCTTTGCATTAATCATTTCTTTATGTTTGTTTTTCCTCGTGGTAACTTGTTAGTTATACATGAGTTTATAATCTTGCAGGGAATGTTACCCCACATTTCTTTAAAAAATATTACAAATCTATGTTTCAGGTTGAGTGTGGAGAAGAGAATCCAGCTGAACTGGGCAGTGGCATGGAGCCTCCTTGACAGATAGGACAGGAGCTGAGCCCTGGACCCCAGGCTGGGATTCTCCCTGGACATGTGCTGTGCTCAGGGAGAGGAAACAGGCTAGGTCAGAAAGAAGAGGACACCTCCCCCATTCCCAGGGGACTCTCCCAGGATCCTGCCTGCTGTGTTTTCTGTGGCCACTGGAGGGCACCTGGGCTCCACTGCATCTCCTGCTGACCTTCCCAGCCCAGCTCTGCCTTTGAGTCAACATCATATTCACCTTGACCATAATGGCTCTCCTGAGTGACCATCTCCCTCCAGTCATGCCCAAGTATCTGAGGTGGGCAGATGCCCTCAGGTACCCACCCTTGGGCAGAATGGGAACCCCAAAGTTCACTCTCCTCCACATTCTCCTTCCTCACCCCTTCTGTCCTCACCAGGGGTCCAGAGCATCAGCAGCCCTGGTGGAATGACTAGAAAACTGTGAAGTGACCTGAGGGGCATCTATCCAGGATCTTTACGAGTCACTGAGGCAGTAGAGACCCAGAGTCCCAGGTCCCCAGGGACAACCTTCCACCCTCTGGGAGACTTATGAGTGACTTTTCCAACTCTGACCCTTCCCGACATAGACGCAGGCTGTCGAGAGATTCCAGGCAGTGTGACTAGAGTCTGTGTCATCCCTGTACCTCTGCTAAATCCTGTAACTGCGGGGACCACATTGAGTGACCACGCCTCCCAGTTCTGATGCACCACAGGGACCTGAAAGAGCACTGTGTCTGGCAGGGTAGTGCCATGACTCCTGACTTGGTCTTTTCTCTTTGTGGGGTGTGCCCCTAGGATTGAGTTACACTCACCTGTTTCCTTTGTAATCCTGCCCTTTGCCTGTTAGGGATAGAAAGTTCCATGGAAACTCCCTTTGTGTGTCCCCTTCTCTTGCTCTGCCTTTGGATGTGGCCTTCCTAGATGTCAGTCAATCTGCTGACAGCAGACACCACAAAGCTGACTCCACCCGCTGAATCCTTACCCCTTGCCTCATTTGAATGATTTCTTCCCCAAAAAAGTGTTCAGCACTTGCTCCTCTCTCTCATTCCAGGGACCCCTAAGGACAGAGGAGCCACCACAGGACCCAAAGAAAAGGTATTACCCTGTCCTTTTGTGGGTATTTTCGGCAGCCCAGTTCATCTGGAGTGACTTTGAGTGTTTAGTTGTGGAAAGTGTCATGTAATAATAAGAGAAATGCAACATCTTATGCAAAATTGATAAGTTAATTTCATGAAGTTCCTGGTATTAGCTATAGCAGGCAAAGTCATTTCTCTATTTTATTTGTGTGTTTGTTTTATTAGGTTTGTATTTGAATTTCACACAACGAAGCTTTTGGAGGGACCTCTAGCATTTCACTTCATCTCTTCACTAACTTGGCCAAGTCCTGCCCAAGACAGGTCCTGCTCCCTCTGCAGTTCCCATGCTCATCCTGCCTGCTCATTCATAAGGTCCCTGGACACTTCTGTGCTTGTCCTCCACATGCCAGGCCAGGCTGCTGCAGCTGACAGGGACAATCATGGGTGTGGCCTGAGCTATGACCCAGGCAGTCATGGTCAACAACCCTCAGCTGCACCTGTTCCCTGAGTTCCCAGTACCTTCCTCTCACAGGGCAGAGAATATTCTGAGATGCTGCCCAGACCAGAGCTCATGTGGCAGCTGGGTCACCCAGGCAGGGAGGTTTTTGTTCAGGGCTGCACCACTGTGGGAGGAGCTTGTATATTTTGACAGCAGTAATACACCCCAGCATCCTCAGCCTCCACCCTGCTGATTCTCAGTGTGAAATCTGTCCCTAACCCACTGCCACTGAACCTGTCTGGGACCCCAGTGTAGCGGTTGGATACAAGATATATTAGACCCTGTGGAGCCTGGCATGGCTTGTGCACAACCCAGTGCAAATACGTGTTTCCATTACTGTGTAGGAGGCTCTGACTGGACCTGCAGGAGATGGAGGCTGATTGTCCAGGGGTGACGGGCTCAGAGAGAGCAGTCTGGGTCATCACTATATCCCCACTGGTTCCTGTAAAAATCCCAGAGTAATGCAAGGTTATATAGAAACTTTAAGAAAACTTTTAGCACTTTTTCTTTTTGGTATATTTCAGACTAAATTAATTTTTGTTTTTGATTTATACACTAAAACTATTCATATAAATAAAGAACTCCAATTGAGTAAGCTCTAAGAGCTTCTCTAGAATTCCCTTTAACATCCCCCTCTTATTATGTGACAACTTTCATCAGAGTCAGTTCCTTGCACCTTCTGGAATACACTCTCACATCAATTGACCTCAGCTGCCTCATCCTGGAGGACAGACCTGCACATCCCTCATGGGACACAGCACACATGGGAAGAATAGGGGTCCTAGGCTCACCTCCCTCCCCCTTCTCCTTCCCCATCCCCTCTGTCCTCACCAGGAATCCAG